GGAAGAGATGCTGTGTGTTCTACCACAGACCAAGCTGAGGATGGCAAAGGTGTTTCATTTCTGATGTCAACTTTAGTTGCTTGATAGTTTCCCTGAACAGCTAAGCTGAGACTTCTGAGACCTTCCGTTTCACTTGCAAAGAACATTCCGATCGCAAAGAAACAGGACGGTGTTACTACCTGTGCCACTCATTCACGAAACCTGCTCTTTGTCGTATTTGCTATGTTGTCCAATTGTGCTCATTACACCAGTATTGTTTTTCCTAAACTACACTAACAGTAAGAATTTAATGTGGACAGAATTTCAGGAGGTCAAAATGTAATCAACAGACCTGACTTCTAACTATTCCCTAAAGAATACTAAATGTTTTTTAAATCCTTTGCCAAGAAGCTGTTAGAATTACAACCTCTAAGAAATTTCACAGCAGGGCTTGGTGGTGCATGCCCATAATCTCAGTACTCAGGAGGCTGAGGTAGGAGATTGCTGTGAGTTTGAGACCAGCCTGAACTACAAAGGGAGTCCAACGCCAGCCTGAACTGTATAGCAAAACCCTGTCTCAAAAAGACAAGAAAGAAAGAAAGAAAGAAAGAAAGAAAGAAAGAAAGAGAGAAATAAAATTTTAAAAAAGAAACTTACATAGGACTGTAGCACACACATCTCATGTCCAGTATATGATGTTAAAACTTTGAAACTGGTGATGCACGCTTGTAATGCCAGCATTCTGGGAGGCTGAGGCAGGAAGACAGTAGGTTCAAGCTCAGCCTGCGTAATTTAGCAAGACCCTGTCTCAAAAAAAAATAAAGAGAGGGTGGAAATGTAGTTCAGTGTGAAAGGCCCTGGCTGGGTTCTATCCCCAGGGTTAAAAAAAAAAAAGAAAAAAGTCAAAACTCCAAGAATTTCTTAGTTTATTTAAGAAGGTGATTTATCATTGAGTTTCTGCATAAAGAGTGGACAGTGTTGATTTCCTCTGCTACATTTACATTAATTAGATTATTTTGAATTTAATTTTACCCTTTTTACATGCACTTCAGCTTGAGTTAGTGAGAATCTGAATAAAACACTCTCCAAATACATCTTAAAGCAGAAACTATGACAGATATTATTTAAACTATCTGTTCAATGTTTTCTTCATTTGTAAATTGATTCTCTTTTAATTAGCTCAGTGAGAGTATTCTCTGTACTAAAATGTGGGTTTTATAATTACTCAGTTATGGCAAAGGCAACAAGTCAGGAAATGACTGCCGCTGAAAAGACACAGCTTGGGGTCAGGCATATAGCTCAGTGGCACGGTGCTTGCCGGGCAAGCTCAGGGTCCTGAGTTCAATTCCCCTTTCCAAAAAAAAATCAAAAATGAAAAGACATAGCTTGTAGTCCCAGCACCCAAGAGAAGGAGACCCAGCCACTCCACTGCAACTACAGAAGGAAGCACCAAGATCAGTTAAAGGCAGGGAGGAGCAGAACAAGAGCCTTTACTATGGCTTCCATAGGAGGAGACAGAAAAAGGAGGCTGAGCAGATGTGGATAAATCCATTCAGATAATTTCATTTGGCTCTCGGGTATAAAAACTATGCTTGATCAGGGAGTACCTGGGCCTGGGATAGTGGAGCAGACAGACAGTGGCCCTGAGGAAGAGCCCAGTGGAGAAGCCAGGGGCCCAGGGCTGTGGATTGGGTGCTTTGCATGTGAAATTCCTGCTCAAAGGAGAGTCATTTAGTGTCTCAAGGAGCTGGCTAATTCTGGCAGAAATAGTCTCTCCAGGATCAGCAAAACCCCAGATGTCAAAGCAGCAGAAATACAGAAAATCAAATGGCATGATTAATACATTCCATATACCCAACTTTGTGCTAGAACCTCGTGAATAAGTTAATAAAACCAGGACTTGACTGTGGAAAAAGTTACATTCTTGTAGGACAGAAAAGTACTGTACATGAAGAACTAATTTCCACATCATGGAGAAAGTTAAATACCATGGATGTGACAAAGACAAGGTGTTGAATGCGCTGTTGCTGAGAATGCATTTACTACCTTAATCTTTCTCACAGTATTAAGATATATTTCAAGTATTTTGATGTGCTGTTTATTTTTTTCACCCATATAGTTATCATTATTACTCAGTTATAATTCATCTTAAATTATTTTCCAAAAATGAGTTCTGAGGAATCAATATTTTAGCCTTTTTCAGACACAGTAGGCCACAGATCGCTTCATGGGAACCATATTCTAAGTCATGTGTGAGAGACAATGAGTATTTTTAAACCACCAACTATGTGCCACACACTGGATCAATAAAAACAGCTTTAAATGCATCTTTTTTGTAATCAAGTAATCCATTTTTTAGATGGGAAATAAGACATAAATACATTATGTAGCAATTGTATACAAGGAATCAATACAGAAGAGGTCGGCAAGTGGTGAATAATTGATTGTCAAATGACCGATGTTAAAATTTGTAAAGTAGAGATGGGAGGAACCAGCAAAAAGGATATAAATTTGCCTACCTATGTGCAGGGGACCAGAGATAGAAAACATAAAGCGCGGTTGCTATGTGTAAGAAGTGAGTGACACAGATGGCAAGCCAGGACTCTGAGTGCAGGTTAGTGCAGACCAGGGCCATCAGGCCGGCCCTGAACGGACTGCATGCACGTGAATGGTCCGAGGGATCCAAAGTGATTCAGTAGATTTGGGGTTAAGTTCAAGATGCGGCATGCCTGAAAAGCTGCTGATCCAAGGTCACATTTCGAGAAATAAAATGCAAGAGCTGGCAAAGGTTTCTCAAAGAGCTTAGTTAGTGCTCTGCATCTGCAGACAGTGGCCACTACTTCTCCACTTGTCATCGTGTGGCAAAGCCATCACGGACAAATGTATAAATCAGCATCGCTTTATTTTTTAAAGTGTATTTATGGAATCTGAAATTTGAACTTTATATGATTTTTAGTGTCACAAAATAGTACTCTTCCTTTGATTTTTTCCACATATTTAAAAATGTGTAAGTTGTTCTTCACCCACAGTCGAGTAAAAACAGGTTTGCAGGCTATAAATTTGGTCAGTTAGAGGATATGATGCTACATTCACGTGGTTGACAAAGGTTTCCCTGTGGTGTACCTTCTCCAAAAGAGACTAATCTTTCCTTTAAACCTTTCTTGCATTTTTCATGCTTCATTTTTCTTTCTGATACTGGCTTTTTACCTTTTTAATTAACAGAAAGGTACTACTGGGCAGTACAGACATGCAAACTCCTCAGTTTCTGAGTTTACCAGGCTAAGTTCTATCACTTGTGTTAAGTAAGGCAATATCTTCTGGAAAATGCTCAGCAAATGTACATTCAGCTGAAGTTGATCTGTTGAAAAAGGCTTTGGCTTGCCTGTAGTTAAGGGAAAGTGGTCTCTAAATGGGATTGATAAAGAAAATAAAGAATTCCTACACGGAGAAAGTACAGCAAAGAAAAGTAAGCGAGTAACCCCTCCAGGCTATGTAGGAAAAAATAAGACCATAGAACTGTATGACAGAAACAGGATTAGTATAGAAAAATGATAGAAAATAAAGCAAAAGCCAAAGTGTGTGAAAGGCCTCAGTAACAGAACTGAAGTTTAAGGACTAGTTTGTGTAGGGGAAAATTTCAAGAGTATTAATCGGATGAAAATATAGCAAGAATTTACTGGAAAAGGAGAGGTCAGTTAAGCATAAAGCCACAGTGAATGCTAATGGCCTTAGAAAGAACAGAAGAAAAGAGAGACACTGGAAGATGGTTCTAGGCTGCATAGTTCTCCAAGTTTTATGAAAACAAAGCCATATGTTGCACTAAAATCAAGAAATATTTCCCTACTCAACTGCCTCCAGAATAGTGTGGGTCACATTGCATATAATGCTCAGTGGGCTGATTATTTTATGCTCCTTAATTTCCAAAATCTTACCTGTCCATTTATGAGCACCCTATATTAATTTTCAGCATTGTTTCCTGGGTTAATATTTGGAGTCAGCAAACTCATTTGCTTCATTAACTTTATCTTCAAATTAAATATAGACAAGAACCTATATTATGCTACTCTAAAGAAAACAAAATTAGGTTATCACGTCATAGTTTCACAACAGGACACCCAACCCAAACAATTTTAGGAAAGTTTAGACTCAGAGAAAAATCTCTGTTGCAGTTAAGAGCTAAACAAACTACACAGTCCCAGAGACTTCATTTCTGCTTGTTGTAAGTGACACATTCCCACATATTTAGTTAAAAATAAATCACATCTAGGGACTTGGGGGAAAGATCTTTTAATGTAAAAGTGATCAAATGCTGTTGAGAGTTTGAGGTGTGAAGGGGAGAAAAGAGCGTGAGAAAGAACCTATGTTAACACAGCCTCCCACCCACAGCCCTGCCTGCTTGGGAAAAGAAAAGCGCTGGCCAGTAGGAATGAATTACAGTCTAACTACTCCGTTTCTCAACAACGTGGAGGCCAAGGTGGTGTGCCTCAAAGTTCTGTAAATACCAGAAATGTGGAAGCCATTATATCTGTTACTGGTCAGCTGATCAGAAATGAGGATCAACAAATATCACTGCCTGTGATTTTTTTTGAACCTAATGATGCTGCCCTTAAGATTTTAGGTATATTTGAGCATAATGTTTATACTACTTTTCTCTTTTTCTCTAGCTAAGAATAGTGGATAAAATGGTAATAAGTGTGTGAGGCATTTATTATGAAACATTTCATAAAACACTTTGAGTTTCAGTTTCTTTTCATTTTGTAACCAGAATGGTGTAAGTTTAACAAGGTCCCTCAATTTCCAAGTTGATAAAATATGCAAGATGCTTGGCGAAGAAAAACATACGGGAATTGTCTAGTCATTAATTTCACAGTCTAAGATGAAGAGTTTCCATGAATTGACTCAGATCTTTTATCAGACAAATGTCTTATTGCAATAGCACCTGGCCTTTTATTTCTACTTTTTTTAAAAAACACCACCATTTCTCTTACTCTGCTATCCTTTGACCTCCACTTGGCCTGCAGGTGGTTCTGTGAGGGGAAGGAGCTACACAACACTCCTGACATTCAGATCTTCTGTGAGGGTGGGGACCTCCATACCCTGATCATCGCAGAGGCCTTTGAGGAGGACACAGGCCGCTATACCTGTCTGGCTACAAACCCCAGCGGCTCAGACACAACATCTGCAGAGGTGTTCATTGAAGGTAAGGAGGAATGCCTGGGAAAAGAGTACCAACAATCCTGCAACCGGAGGACCATTATAGGAAGCATTGAGAGTATGTTTTTCCAGTGCAAACAGCATGATAGCATTGTGCTTCAAACCTCATTTCTCCTGAAAAACTGAAGAAATTGATCGGTTCTGACACTGAGACACAGATCAGTGTCTAACGTCAACATTCGTCCCTTTTAATTTAAAATGTTCCTGCTAAATTTCTGACGCGAATTTATTTAAAGTGCAAAATAGCAAACTTATTTTTTCTTTCTCAAGTAAATGAAGCATGGGAACATAATTGAAATATCATTTTAAATGATTTAGGAAATCATTCATGGGGAATTTTAAGTAACTGAATATTTTTAAATGTGCTCATTTTTATTAAATTGTAGAACTGTGCCTCTTTTGTTAAGACTCCATTATTCTTGCTAAATGTACTACGAACTTACAATCACTAGAGAGGAATAATTTAAAAAATAGTGTACTAAACACTGTAGGAAATATAGCCTCTTTTAAAAATGGTGCTAGGGAAACTGACTATTCATGTACAGAAGTTTGAATCCAGACCCATATCTTTAACTCTGCACTAAACTAAAATCAACATGTATAAAAGAACTACATGTTAAAACAGAAACGCTTAAACTGCTAGAAGATAAAATAGGTAAAACTCTTAAAGTCATAAACATAGGCAAAGACTCATAAACAGCACTGGTTGCATGAGAAATAGTAACAAAAATCAACATGCTGGATCAGATCAAATTAAAAAGCTTCTATGTAGCAAAGGAAACAGCCAACAGAGTGAAAAGACAACCTACAAGTTGGGGAAAAAAATTTTGCCAGCTATTCCTCAGACGGAGAGTGAATATCAGGAATATGTAAAGATTTCAATACAATTAGAACCCCCAAATAACAACCCAGTCAAAACACGGGCAAGTGAAATGAACAGACTCTTCACAGAAGAAGTACAAATAGCCAGTAAGTACGTGAAGAAATGTTGAACATCACTGGCCATTAGAGAAATGCAAATTAGAACAATACTGAGATTCTATCTTACCCCAGAAAGACTAGCCATCATCCAAAAAAATCAAATAATAACAAATGCTAGCAAGGCTGAGGGAAAAAGGAACCCTTCCACATTGTTGATGGGGATGTAAATTAGTATAATCACTAAGAAAATCAGCATGGACATTCTTCAAAAAACAGAAATTCCATTTGATCCAGCTATTCCCCTTTTGGGTTTTTTCCCCAAGAGTTAAAGACATAATATTACATTGATACATGCATACCACTCTTTACAGCAGCAAAATGCGTGATAGCTAAATCTTGGAACTCTAACCCTGAGTTTACATAGAACACCTTAAAAGGAAATGCTTTATTTGATTACAGGCTTACTAGAAATGTGGTGAATTTTGGAATGTATGGCTTCTACACTACAGATATTAAATGAAGTCATTAGATTTAAGTAATATCCTATCAACTAAATTTAAGTAATATCCTTCCAATTTAATTCAGTCAACACTTACTAAGGCCCTACTAAGTACTACAGAGTACAATATAAATATGGTTAATACACAGACTCTGGATACCAGGGAGCTCCCAATGTAATAGCAGGGATGGATAAATTTTTTAAAAAATCAAATGAAATCAGAATATAGTATAAGATGATAACGTATTATAAGTGATAGAAGAGAAATTATATATTATGTATGTCACATATTATATGGTATATAATTATACCATATTATATGGTGTATAAGAACTTATATACCATATTATATGGTATATAAGAACATATTATATGGTATATAAGAACCATGTGAAGATATGTGAGCTATCCCTAGTTTTCATCTAATAAAAGGAAATATTTCTCTATCTCTGAAACCATTTTCATTATCTAACCCTGATGGACCCCAAATGCTGAGAACCTTGATTTTAATTTTCTTTAATTAAATGTAGTTCTAAGTAGAAGCTTCAGAGCTGTCACTGAAGCCAGGGGGGTGAGCTACTCAGTATGGGGATAGTAACCTCATGTCCTGTATGCCATGTACTTCCATGCAGGGTTCACAGTGTTCCCCCACAGTACCACTAAACTTACTTAGCAAACCAGCCTCAGGTTTTGAGGTTTTCAGTAGACTGTGTGTGACTTTGGACAAGTTGAAGAGAGGATGAAAGAACTGGGCAAGACCAGAATAAAAACCACGCAGGTTCATCTTTTCTAAGACTTACGTTAAGTGCGTTAGCAAACTGGTTCATTGACCTGGGTACGGATAATAACTTCTAATGAGAAGTTTAGTGTGATTTATCCCTAAAAACAATTACACAGAATGAGAGAGCTACATTCTTAGGTTCATGTTATGACTCAAAGTAGTAAGTCTTTATACTTACTAATTCCAGCACTAAGTTAGATTCAAGCCTCTTCCTACTGAGTTGCTTCCCCAAGAATGTTGGTAGCACTACATCAGCAGACACTGAGGGTCTGCCAGAGGGTAGAAAGTTTTCTACACAATTGTAGATCTCAACAAAACCTTCTCTAAATTTTAGCAGTTTGCCAGTTGGAAACCATCTGAATTCCGCTGTTTTGTGCACTAAGTTTTACAATAGTACAAAAAAAGAAATCATAGCTCAAGAACAACAGCTAGCATTTGTAGATTTCACTAGGAGGCAAACGATATTCTTCAGTTTTACATGGATTATCTCCACTGGTCCTTACAAAGTCATCTGGTTATTTAGCTAAGGAAACTGAAGTTTAGAGCAGCTGAATAACAACCAAAACAGCAGGCACGCACGTGTGTACACACACCAAAGCAGCCCGACTCTTCAACTTAACCTCTTTGCTGCTACAGAGTAAAATTCCAGTGAACTCATTATCACGGGGGCCACTGTCACTCTTGTTTTCATAATTTAAGATTTGAGCACAGCCTTTTTCAGAGAACATAACAGTACTTTTGCTCCATCCTCAAGTAAATATTGGGTGACTACAACACGGCAGGCAGTGGATCAGCCCTGAGGAACACGTCAGGGAATCAGGTAGCTCCTGACACACCAGAAGAGGGAAGAGACAGAGCCAGCAAAATCCTAAATAATTCCAAATACCAGCAAGTCTGTAAAGTTCACCAGGAAAGCCACTCGGAAGAGATAACATTGGATCTAAGACCAGAGCCCTGAGAAGGAACCGGTAGGGAAGAGTGGGAAAACGGCGCTCCTGACACCGGGAGTGAATGCAGAGGCCCCGGGTGGGGAGCAACAGATGGGCAGTGGGAGCAAAAGGACACACCATGGGGAGGGGGCGCCCCACGGGGCCTTATGGTCACTGCTAGCATTTGGCCTGGATTCTAAATCAAATTGCAAGCTATGGAGGGTTTAAACCGCAAAGTCACATTATCTGATTTGAAGAGGAGGGTGTGTCTGTTTGCTAAAGTTTGCTTCTTTGTTTTGCAGTGCTGGGAATCAAACTCAGGGCCTTTGACATGCTAGGCAAATGCTGAACCACTGAGTGACAACCCCAACCCTTCTAATTGGAATTTTAACCTGTTGCTTGGTTTAAAATTAGGGAGCGAGTAGCCTATTGCAGCAAGGCAGAGGGGTATGATGGTGCTCCGGGAGGATATGTGTAAATAGGAAAGAGAAACCAGACACAGACCCTCAAAGTCCTGCAGCGGGTTAGATTTCATGGAAACAGGAAAGGAAGCATCAACTGTGAATACCCCATGGCTGTTGGTTCTACCATTTGTGTGAATAATGTTGCCAGTCTCTGAAATGGGAAAGACTAGGGAGGAATAGTATTAGGGGATGGGACAATTATGTGCTCTGGTTTGAACAGAAGTTTCAAATCCCTCTTGGATAGTCAAGGGGATGTCACAAGTCAGTATTTGGACACATGAGTATAGTCTACTGCACTGAGTAAGAGGACTTGATTGGGGCATCTGGACATAGATGGTAACTAAAGCTGTGGGAATACACACAGTACCAGACAGGTCCACCCGGAAGAAAGAGGAGCTGGGAAAGAGAGAAGGTCCTAAGTCTCAATCTGCAGCCCTTCCACCTGTAGAGGCATCTAGAAGAGGAGCTGCCAGCAAAAAAAATAAAAAGGCAGAGCCCCTGGGGCAGGAGAGAAGCCAAGCAGAGTGCTGTTAGGGGAAATCGCTGCCGGAGGGAGAAGTTGCTGGCTGTGCCCATGTCTGCTGAGAAGTCAGTCCAATGAGGGCAAGGAAGAAACCACCGGATTTAGCAACTATGGGTGTTGTTGGTAACTTTAGCAAGAGGGGACTGGGGATTTGAGAAAGAACCAGAAACCAAATGGAATGAGTCGAGGAAAGGTTGCAAAACATGGAAGAAGTAGCTGATACTAGATACTCACTGGGGAAGTTTTGCTTAACCACCAGCACAGATGTGGAGCAGTATCTGGGAAGGAGTAGGGGATCATGAAATGTTTTTTGCGGTTTGTCTTCAGGCAGGAGGTACTAGAGCGTGTTTTTATGCTGATGAAAATAGTACAAGAAACAAAAATAGAATATGAAGGAGAGAGAGAGAGAATAAGATGTAACATCTTTGAAAATGGGAAAAGAAAGGATATCTGGCCCGTATGTGCACTAGATAAGGAGGAGAGTGCCCTCGAGGATTAGTTGGCAATGAGTCTCAATTTCACAATATAAATAGGAAAGACAAACATGTGACATAAACGTAAACATCTCAACTCTCCTCCCTCCTCCTGTGATTGTAAAATGGATTATACAGATCATTACAGTTTCAAGAGTTTGCAAGAAGAGTAGGAAGTTGGCCCTGATATATGGAATAGAGGAAGCTGGATTAAACCAGGCATTGTGCTTAAAGAGGATTTAGATTTGGATCTGGTAGAGAGGTGGGCAGGGCAGCCAAAGAAAATAGAGTTGGGCAGCAGCTCACAAGCATCATGCCAGGTAGCAGATCCTGCTTACAGGTTCTCGGCGATGGGCGCCCTGTAAGAGGCATTCGGAAGCCAGCTGTGATGTTAAATGAATAATCGCTCTTGCTGATGGCAACAGGGTAAAGCCCTGGATGACCGGACCACCAACGTGCCTCCAGTATCAGTTAGACCTCTAAGCATACATTTCCTTTTGCTAGGTGTTTAGAACTTGTGAAGATACAAAGCGTACAGCTTGGGCTATTCTTGACATGGCTTATTTTTAAATAATTGTTCCTAACATTTTAAAACAAGCTTAGTTTCTTGCTTCGTGACTTTGACTCATTATCCAGTGCTCCGTACGTTCTTTGATTTCTCTGTGTGTACATGAAGAAAATTACATTGATGTCAAGATTGACTGGTTAATCCCCTGCCCAGAATGTTGCCAGGCACAGAGTGTAGGTTATAAACACGATGACAATTGCTTCATTTTTTAAAAATCTAAAACACATAAATACAAAGAAGACGTAAAAAGCATGAAAGTGCATATAATCTTACTGCCCAGTAACAGTCTCTTTTTTCTTTTCTTTTTCTTTTTTTTTTTCTGCTTTTGATGCTGGAGATTAAACCTAGGGCTTACACATGTTAAACACAGATTCAACCCCTAGCCATCCCAGTCTCATGACTTTTTACATGTGTATGTATGTTGCTTTATATACTCTTTTGCACCCTGTTTTGTTTTTATTTATTTATTAGCCTAATCTATGCTCTCACAAACAAACATCTAGCCATGTCATTACCATTCGTCTTTCCTGGCCAGCTGGTGCAGGGCAGATGACTGACGGGGGAGGGGAGGGAGGTTCAAGGTGGCTGAGGCGGGAGAGAAGAACCGCCTGAGGGGCGGGGAGGGAATTCACTGCACCAACAAGGGGATTTGATCTGTCTTCTGCCAGAGCTGCTCTGACACCTGAGAGGTAAGGTGACATTGAGATTTCACAAGGGCTGGACAGGTGCACAGAGATAAGTGTATTCTCATTCCAGGGACACACACTTTTTTTAACCCTTCACCTTTCTTTCTCTGAAAATCTCCTGGAGAAAGGGAGCAAGAATGACTTATTTTTCTCTTTCTGGTGCTGGAGATGGAATCCAGACCTTGCACTGCTTGACAAGCACTCTGCTGCTACGCTACACCTCAAGCCCGTGAGTGGTGCATTAAACAGAGGTCATCTGAGGAAATTTTTTAAAAATGATTTAAATATTTGAAGTCAGGTGAAACACAGCTATTTTCTGGCCACACTGAGCTTGCGTGGGAGAGCTTCCAAAGGACTCTTACCAGCCCTCCCTGTCCGAAGCACCTTTATGACTCCAATTATATTGGTCTTTCTGTCACTCAGGCCTTTCTAATTACCCATGCTTCCATGTTATGTATTATTTACCATCTTTACCGTAGTTAATTGTCTCAGTGTCAGCCCTGTGTTTCTAGATGTCTCTCACCCTCTGCTCACCAGCAGGCTGTGCTTCTCCAAGCAGAGTCCATTCCCTGCCCCCAACCAGCTTTGCAATTCTCCTGTTCCATGCATTCATTCTAGAAGAAGATAAAGGCCCCACCCTGAGTAAGAACAAACCTAAGCACCTTGTGGAATACAGACACACAACACCTGAAGGTCACCAGGGGCAGGAAAAAGTCACAGACAAAGGGTTTGAGACACATGAGTGTGGCTCTTGTCTCCTGGTTATGTGACTTCATGCAAATTACCTAACCACTCAGTTCCTCAATTTTCCTAAGTATTGGATCTAACTCACTTCTTAGTGAGGCTCATTAATGTGATTAGAGAGCCTAGTAGACTGCCAGGAAAATAGTAAATACTCTCAAATTGGTAGTTTCCTTCTTAGCCCCGCCTCAGTTCTCAGAGAAGTAATAGTTTTCTCCCAGATGCGATAAGTTACGTACAGGATGTAAACATGAATACTGGAGCTCAAAGAAAACAGCACAGAAAAATGACTGGGGTGATCTGCAAAGACACAATATCAAGAAATACTGGGTAAGCATATCCTAGGAGAGTGAATAATATAACTAACTACCAGTAGAAACAGATTCGGGGAATTCTGACTTACTGAAACTTATGCATCATCTAATTCTTTAACAAGAAAGGTGTGCTCTAGGAAAATTAACCTGACATAAGGCAAAGATGGATCTTGTAAGGGAGAAAAATGGGAAGATAAAATAAAGAGTCTGTTGTAGTCCAGAAGCCAGGTGAAGAAATCTTGTACCCAGTGGTTGTTCTAGAAATAAATAGGAAGGGAAAGCTCGATCATTCCTGCAGAGTTACCTAAGCGTCACTGTTTTCAACCTCAACAAAGGATAAGAAACATGTTGCAGTAGAGTCCTGGAAAGAAATTCTAGACAATCATCCAAAAGAATGAAGTGAACATATGTATTCTAAGTGTACTGATGACAGGCAAAAGCAATTACGTGACTGTGAAACTGCAAGACATAGAGTGTGAATGTTTGTGCAAATGTACATAAATATTTATGTGTTGATGTATTAAACTTATCTGAAAAATATACCAGTGTAGGTCAAGTTGTATTTAGGAAATAACTATTTTTTTCTATAAGCAGATATTTTACAAAATAATTCAGATAACCCAAATGAAATGTGTCTTAGAAACATCAAGAATATGCTTTTAACCATTACAATTACATCAAATCTGCCCCTTAAAATCCCGTGACATGAAATATACAACCATTAAAATCTGAGTATAGTTTACCTTTAGGCTAAAAATCTGATGGGATCCTTAATTCGGGAATAGATAAAAACGAATTTGGGAGGGTCTGAATCCAAAATCATTGACCCTCTCATTTAAGAATGAAGCCACTAGAGTCAAAAAGTATCTTCTCATTAACAAGTACCAAAGACATTCAGAAGCCCACACCATATGATCTTGTACGGTTAAAGTTAAAACCATAGATATCAGTCCACACAAAAACTCACATATATTTATTTCACATTTTTAAACTATGTGAAAGTATAGTTGTGATAGCCAGTGATAAAAATGAAACTAATAATAAATATGACATTAAAAGCATGTTGACTTGAAGGAACCTCTTTATAGTAGTTCTTCTTTAAAATGATTTTCTGAAGAAAAAGTACAATAAAAACAATATGAACCTGAACATTCTCCATTTTGTTGTGTCTTTAACTCAAAAATAAGGCTGCACGGTACTGTTTAAAAATGAAGAAATTACTCTTTAAAAGGATTATAGGTACTACTAATATATTAACTTTGTCATTACTTTTTCATGTTTTTGCAGGAGCCAGTTCAACAGATTCTGACAGTGAAAATTTGGCTTTCAAATCAAAAGCTGGAGATATGCCACAGTAAGTATCTACAATTCTACCAAGTGTCTATATAACAAAGAATGATAACAGGATTGCTGAGGTCTGAAGTCATGTGTGTGGTCCATCAGAGATCAAATATCTGAATCTGGGACACAGTGTTTAACTTACAAATTTGAACTCTAGGTCTGCATTTCATCATGAGTGTGTCAAAACTATATCCAATGTTGATTTCAAAGAAAAACATCTCACTGACTGTGAATGTGTGGAAAGAACCGTCACATGGAGAGAAAAATCATTTGAATTATTACAAAAATGTGGAGGATCAGAAATATCTAATTAGGCCAAAAATATATTTTCATTTGGACAAAATCTATGTCTAGTTAAACTCAGTACTGAAAATCACAAAATTTAGTTATTCTTATAAAGACATGAGTTAATAAAACATCAATATCTTAATTATTTTGCAAAAGTAAAATCAACCAGAGTTAGGTAGAAAATGCCATTAATGTTGCGATATGCTAAAAAATGTCTGTGTCAGTATATACACAGCAGTTATATCCATTCAAAATACTGATCACCCTGGTTTAATCATTCCACATATGTGCACATCAAATATTCACTAAACCACATACATATGTACGGTTCAAGTAATAGTAGAGTAATATATAAACTTTTATATCCATTCAGCATCAAATCATTGTAGATGCTAAAGGAACCTGATAAGATCGTATACTTCTGTTTTAAGGTAGAGCTCAAGTCCAGTGACGTCACAGGACTTGCTCGAATCTGTACAGTCAGCTGGTTGGCAATAAAGGAGCTAGAAACTGATTCTCCTTAACCTTTTGTTTATACTTCACTAATATTTAGGCATTAAAAACAGACAAAAATTACAAGATGCTCTCAACAAAGTTAGAAACCAGGACAAAGAACAGCTGCTGGACTTGGTATATGTGCTACCAAAGTGAACACCAACAGCTACATTTAGGACAACCAAAGCTTTGAGTAAAATACAGAATTTAACCCTAAGATTTTAAATATATGTGTACTTAAAAAGATTGGATCTTTCCCAAGTATGTCATTTTCTCTCAAATCTGCCAAGATGGTCAGTATGAATACATTACAATCTTTAGCAATGACTGAGTTACCTCTAGCTACTTTTCTTTTATCCATGTTTTTATTTAGCTAACTATCTATAAAGTACATTCTACACATGTGCTAACCACAGCTCTTCTCGTTGTACATTACAAGCTCTTTTCTGAAACAAATACAGTTGAAGCAGATTAAGTATACAAGGGGCTGGGGATTTAGCTCAGCGGCAAAAGCGCCTGCCTGGCAAGCGCAAGGTCATGAGTTCAGTTCCTGGTACCAGAGAAAAACAAAAAAACAAAAAAAAAAAAACAGATTAAGTATACAAAAACCTCCTTGTAGAAATATTTCAAAAAATAACACCACTTAAAATAAAATTCTAACTGAACACTTGCATTTCTATTTCCCAGAGCTCAGAAGAAAACAACTTCGGTTTCCTTGACAATAGGATCATCATCTCCAAAAACAGGAGTGACTACAGCTGTGATTCAGCCTTTATCTGTCCCGGTTCAACAGGTAATTGTGCCTCAAGCTATAGCCCATGAGGAGCTGAATTCATTAGCAAACTGCTCCATTTTAAGAATACAGCTTTTATTCTAACTAGCATACTCCCTTGAAATATTTTTAAGTGGAAACAAAACCAGGAAAAAGAAAACTGGCAATTCTTTTTAGTCCATTAAAAAGCAATCTTTAATCAGAGTCACATTATTAATCAGTCAATTTTCACATTTGCTTTAGGAACTTCTGTTAAAATGGCATTTAATTGTCCTCAGATAGAATACTTATAAATGAGATTCCCCCATTCTTTAAACCTAAGTTTACTCCCAGCTAAGGAATACTGTCTGCCTTATGAGTATCATCGTCCTTTTATTAGCCTTCATAATGCACGATACATGCTCTGCAATATAGAGCGGATGCGAACAGCAGAGAAAAGGCATTTGGGTTCATCAACTTGAATAGAATCACCCAGTATATGACACTGTGAGATAGCATTTATCGTAGATATTTTGTTTAAACCCCTAAACCAGAGTAAAATTGTAGAAATACCTCTGATCAAATCAGTGGATTTTTCTTTCAGATGTTTATGTATTGACAAGTATTTCTTTAGATGCTAAGCAGTGCACTAGATATTTCTTGGAAAAAAAAAAAAGCCGCAGCCAGATGGCAGTTAGGGTGCAGTGTCACTTTGATCAACTTTGAGATCTTCCTGGGGATTGATGGTATACACTCTGGGTGCTTCCAAATGGTCATAGAAGTGTGACTGTGGGTGCTATATATGGTCCCAGGTCAGTTTCCTGTCTAGCACCATTCCTCTATTTTGCTTCCTGGCAACCAAGATTTGAGCAGTTTACTTCACTACACCCTTCTGCCACGATGTTTCGCCCTTGGAGCTAGATGATCATGGGCTGAACCCCTTGCAACCATGAGCCAGTTAAGCCTCTCTTCTTTTAAATTGTGGGTGTTGGGTGCTGCGTGCCAGCAACAGGAAAGCAAATACAAGCCCCATTCCCAAACAATGTATAAAGCAGACTGAGAAACAGGAAATATACACATGAAATACTTGTTGAATATGACAGAATTTATTAAAACCTCAAAACAGAAAAATACATTTATCTACAGAAGTAAATACTATAATGATGTCAAGAGACTCATTCTAAATGGTTTTGCTTCTATAGAGAAACATTAAATGGAAGGTAAAGTATCCCACTTTTATAGTTGGGAGAATGAAGTACGCTGGGAAACTCCATCACTTTATTGTTATAGGCAATGTGATGGAAAGGTTAACGCTGTGGAGCCAGAAAATCTGAGTCCCAATCCCAGCTCAACCACCTGAGGGACCTTGAGTAAGTAATGTAGCCTCTGTGTGCCTAGTTTCTTCATCTATAAAATGAAGATGACCAACACCATCTATCTCACAGGGCTGTCACAAAGACTCAGTGAGTTAATCTTCATGGGACATTTAAAACAATGTCTGGCACAGAGCAAATGTAATAAAAATATTTCTGCATTCTTTGGATGTCAAAAGACAGTGAAAAATGAGACCCAGACCCCTGAATCACAAGCCAGTAAAAAGTTTTCCAAGGATAATGAAGAAGGTCCATTACTGACTAAGCATCTCTGCAGTGCTGGCAGCGTACTCCATGAGGTCCTGTAACATATTTAGACACATTGTAACAGGTCACCATCATTTTGGCTGAAGATGCCAATAATCATTTATATTAGTGAATAAATCCAAGTTATTGGAAAACGATGACTATGCACAAAGAAGTAGTTACAATGTATTACTCTAAAGTCTATGCATTTCCCCAGAAATGAATGCCATTTCACCCCTCCATTTTGCACAACAAGAATAAAAAGTATTCCTTTTTCCCACATTCCCCGAAATTCTTTTTGAAAGAATACAAGCTGAAACTAGGATAGGTAGATGGTTGATCATTTGCTTTACCCTCCACTGCTAACAATGAATCCAGACTGCATTTAAAAATAAAATAGAACACCTGTAAGGACTTCTGAAAGGACCCCTGTGGAAGCCCCACACACAGAAATCCATTTGGTAATAGCATTTAAAAGCTTATAGATCCCCTAGGACCTGGAGAGTTTTTACCTTGAATATCCTTTTGAACAGAGAAGAGTAGCAGATGTGAACGGAGGAAGTGGAACAGCGTCTGTGCTGTAAGAGTAGACTAGCAAATGATATATGGTGATACTTTCATTCACTTGTTTCATTCCAGTAGAGCTGTCCCAATAAAGAAAGCTTTCTTTAGCCCATCCTTTCAGCCATGTATATATGTAGGATCTGATCCATGTGTCTCTGCATTTTCAGGTTCACAGTCCAACTTCATATCTCTGCCGTCCTGATGGAACCACAGCCTGCTTTCCTCCAGTTTTTACAAAGGTCTGACATCTGGAAGTCTCATTCTCAGTGTTTGCGTTGGTCCTTGGATATCATTCACATGTGACTTAGGGCAGCAGCCTTTAAAAATTAAAATGAATAGCTTAGTAGACTGATATCATGGCTACCTTGGAGGCTAAATAGATGTTTGTGGAACAACTGCTACATGACTGTAATCTTGTGAAAAGTCTGAGTTATGTGGATGCGGACAGGAACCTGACAGCCTAAAATCTAGTGAGAAAGCTATGATGGGTAGAAAAAGCACAACACAACGCAGTGCTTTAAAAAACCCTGCCCCACAAAGAAATTGCATGGGAGAACTAGCAAATTTTATTAAAATTCAAAAACTACTTTTTAATTTTCAATTGCAAATCAGTGATTTCTGTTTTTCTAAGCTTATGATTTCTATGCCACTGCTCCAGTCAGAGATGATTCTACGTAGTATTTCTTCTTTTTCTGCTTGCTTCTTTGTTTGTTTTTGATTTGGGATTTTTGGAGAAAATTATAAAACATTATTGAAAGACTTTTTTTTTTTTTTTGAAAGACATTTTAAAAGGCCAAAAAATGGAGAAACTGTTGTGGGCTGGAGGACTATAAAGCAGTCATCACTCCCTTAGCCTATATTTAATGTGAATCTTGCAAAATCCCACTGAGCGCCTCACTTCTATTTGTTTGATACAGACCTTAGTAACTTGATTCTAATAGCTGTATGAAAGAAACAGTAGGTAAGAAAAGCCAGGGCACTTCTGAAGAAGAAAAATAAAGAAGTGTTAGAGAATGAGTTCAATGTGTCCTATGAGACAGGAAGTCTTTCTAAAGCAGAGTAATTATGCTACAGGTTTAACACCCCTAATCTTTTTCTTTTTTGCATCCATTTTGGCTTTTTATTTTATTTTATTTTTTATTTTCTTATTTTTTTATTTTAAAGAAAGGAGCACATCCCTAATCTCAAATGCCCCCAAATCTAAAATTATTTGAGCACTGACATGATGTCACAAGTGGAAAATTCCACAGTTGTCATCCTATGATGGGTTATAATCAAAATATAGACATGTTAAAAGCAGTGTAAAATTACCTTCAGGTTATGAGCATAGCTATTTATGAAAAAGAAATGAATTTCCTGTTTGCCTGGGTTCCATCCCAAGATAGCTAGTTATACACATACAAATATTTCAAAATCCAAAATACTTCTGGTCTCATGAATTTGGGATAAATTATACCCAGTCTGTAGTGTGATACTAGCACAAGGCTGGACAGATTAATGAGTAATCAGAGTGGAGCCCACAGAGATATAGCACTATGTATAGAAACTTGCAGGTCACTGAGGAAAGAATGACTTCCTCACCAGAGGTGAAAAACGTCCAATTGAACACCTACCTCCCACTCTTCACAAAATCAGTTCCAGGGAAACTAAAGACAGATGTGAAAGCAAACCTACAAAACTGCTGTAAGGAATGCTTTTTTTTTTCTCCTAAATCAGACAGAATCCAAGCATTATTAAAGATATTTCACAATCTGTTTTATTGTTTCCAGTGAGCAGAAGCAACAAATGGTAACAACCAACAACTCTGAACCTCCTACAGAAGTTATTAAAAAGAGATAAAAGTCATACAAAAGCCTCCTGAAACTATAAGTCGTTGTAATGCCAATGAAGTTTGCCTTTGGTGCCCAGAACAAGAAATAGTTACAGAGAAGTGAATGCTATACACTCAGGGCCTAGTTTAAGAGATTTCACAGGCAGATTTTCAAGGTCATTGCCAGGAGGGTATGACCTCGTGCACTGTCAAGCAAGACTCAGGAGATTTCAGAGAACCAGGGCCTTTGAAGTTCATACAAGTGACATGAGGAGAGGAAAAGGGGTTGGTATGGTTTTGCTTCTCTTGAACAGAGAGTTAGACCACAGTAGGCTGGCATGTGTAAGTGTTACAGAATTCCTCCTTGGCATCAAGAGGAGTCCTGATATCATAATGTAAGTGAATAAATAAATCAGACACACAAGCTTAAATATCACAGTTTCTTTTATTTGAGAAACCCAAAATATAAATAAAGAGCAAAATAAAAGATACATAATAGCAGCTGGGTGTGGTGGCACAGGACTGTAATCTCAGCACTTGGGAGGTTGAGGCAGGAGGATCTCAAGTCTGAGCCTAAGCTCACAAGTGAATGAGACCTTGTGTCAAAGTGGAAAAAAAAAACAAAAACGGAAAGGGTTGGAAGTGTAGTTCAGTATGAAGACCCTGGGTCCAATTCCCAGCACATATGCCCATGCACACACACACACACACACACACACACACACACACACACATACACACACACACACAAATCCTAAGTATAAAACTCCTGTTTCCTGCATTGCAGTCCTGCTTCTGAGACACAAATATTCTATTAGTCATCTTTTCCTCTTTCCTAACGAAAACTGCCTTTAAAAGTAAAACAAAATTCAATAAACTTTTATGTAGGTTGGTTTTTAAGAAATCTCTAAGTACAGAGAGACAAGCAGTCCAGAGCTCGCTGTGCCGCACAGCTTTGGACCGTGCACCTGCGTGTCCTGCAGGGCAGCTCCCTTCCTTGCTGTATCTGCCTCTCTCTCTCTTTGCCTTCCAGCAGTTGCTGTCTGTTTGGCAGGGTCCTCTGCTTTGGTTCTGGAAGCACAGGTTTAGAGAGGGACCCTGCTGACCCTCTCTGGCGCTCAGACTAACCATGGCTTTCTCATCCTGGGCACCTTGTTTGACTTGGCTCTTGCGCATGATGATGATAGTGGATGGCAGGCGGGCGCTGCCAGGCCAATAGATGCCTCCCTCTATTCCTTCACACCCTCTGGAAAGGATTTCCAGGTTTCACAGGTGGTCAGAGGCAGAGCCAGCACTCCTGCCTAGGGGCCTAGCAGAGTGGTGGACTTGGCACCAGAAGCTGAGCCCATGTGAACTGTGGGGTTCTATGTAGCGGGGAGGCATAAGCAGCCAGATAAGCAGCTACCCTTGTGGGACATTTCTTCTCTCAGGCCCATGCAAAGAATCACAATGCTATTTTGGGCTCAGACTTGAGATCCTCCTGCCTCAGCCTCTGAAGTACTAGGATTACAGCCATATACCAGCACACCCAGCTCCTATTATCTATCTTTTATTTTGCTCTTGATGTATGACTAGAGATGCTCTTATATGCATCCTAAGGCCCTCCATATCCTACACAGAATGGATGGATGATCCAGACCACCAAGTACAACTTCAAAGGTTAACTCCGTTTTCTGAGAGCTTCTTGTTATGCCCCTGGAGGGAGATCCCTTAAAGGCTTACTGTGTTTGGTCATGGCTTTTGCCTAGATTTTCTTTTAAAAGCTGCAAGAGGAGTCCTATTATAATACCCAAGTAACTATGGAGTTTTCCTTGTTGTAATACCTTGGAATTATTTACACCTCTGGCTTTCCAACACTGTAAAAAATACATAAAGTTAGGAATAAATCACTCTCCTTTGGTCTCCAAAAGTTTAAGCATGAAAAATATCTGATTTCCATTTGTAATCTACTTGAGTGGTCCCCTGAACATGACTAGAAATGTCTAATAGGTCAGTCCCTGAAAGCTGGAGCCCATAAGTGACACCCTGCTGAGAGCCAATGAATGAGATCTGTGGGCTGTGGGTGTGGCTTGGTGGTGGAGCACTTACCCAGCATGCCCTGTGTTCAGGCCTCAGCACCACAAAAACAACAACAAATAAACAATCTCTGTCCTAGACCCGGTCACAAAGTTTAAAACTTCAAAACTAGATATTTTCTGCATTTAAAAAATAAGAATTGGGAAGAAACACAGTCAGAAGTTCACTTAAAAAGACACTGTTGTTAACTGCCAAATTTTTATCAAATGTCAAATCAGATATTTTATAATTTGCCGGCAAATGTCATGGACTTTTAAAATGTTCATAGCGCTGTAGCACAATCACTGCAGGCCATTTGCCATAGCATTTGTTTTCTCTTTTGCTGTAGGATTTGTGATTATCTTTTGTTCCCACTGACAATTTTTAAAAAGCAAAGGCCACACATCTCCTAATGTCAATTTGTTTGCTTTTTATGTATAGATAACTAATTTTATCTTATTTGAATTACATGTTCTACACAGGATCCAACACTGGATGTTTAAAGAATCAAAAAGTTTAAATAAACCCCATTGCTAGTAATCCCCAGAGGAGGAAGGTAGAGAAAAAACATATGTAAGGGAACTATTAAGATCCTGATATTTAGTAACAAGTACAAAAGCTTTATCTCCTTGCATCTATGAAGGCAAGTTAATTCCTAATCTGTTGGATCATAAAATTTTATTGGTCTGGAGTTGGAGTGGGATGGGGGTAGCAAGGGTTGTGGCAAGGGAGGAGGAAATGAAGGTAAATAAGGCCCACATGGAGTATGTTTTACTATTTTACAAAGACTTTCAAAATGAGAATACCTAAGCCTCTTAGCTTAATAAACCTGACATAGGAAACTAGTTGGGCAGGGGTGGTGGAAAGTGCGTGAGAAGGTTAGAGCAGCACTGGCGAACCTATGGCACGTGTGTTATTGTGTTTTCCTTTTAAGACAAAAGATGTTAAAGCATGGGTTGTTTTTTCTAACCCAAAACCTCAGTATTTAGATTGAATTGCTGAGTCGGCACCTGGAGATAAATAAATGGGTTTTGGGTTGCAGTTTGGGTATTCAGCCTTTAAAAGGTTGGCCATCCTGGGTTAGAGCATGTGAAAACAAATGCATCTTCTTCCTCATCTGAGTTCATGTGAAGTGTAATTGTTTTAAGAGGTTTCCATCCCAATTTACTCTAAAATGTAGACAACGTATCTAAAAGTGCCCCTTGACTTAGTACAATTGTTTTACCCGTTTTATATGTTCTTTGGCCTGGTTTTTAATCTCTATGTATGATAATTAACAGTTGTACAAATAAATGAGTCTCATGCTGGAAAAATAAAAAGGGGGAAAGGGAAGGGGGAAAAAGAAAAATATGTATAATCATCTCCTTTTAAAAAAAAAAGTAAAAGTCATTGGCATCAAGTTCCATAAATATAAGAATATCAGTGGAAATTTGCAAACAGGACATAAAGTGCTGCAGGTCTTATAGTAAACCTAGGGGGCGGTAATCTCTTGACATGGAGATTATGGATAACATGATAACTGGATTTAGAGGTACTCACCCTTACCTGAGTTGGTGGTAATTATTTTGATATGTTTTGTAGAAATTGTTTTGTTTTGTTTCTAAGGTTTGGAATTTTTATACTTTGCTGTGAAATTCCTTAAGAACATAATCAAAGTCTGAAGGCTAGTGTTTTCCTTGAATCTCAGGAACTGCAAAACACCATGGCTTCTGAGGGCCAGGTGGTGGTCCTGGAGTGCCGGGTACGAGGAGCTCCCCCGCTGCAGGTCCAGTGGTTCCGGCAAGGAATCGAAATCCAAGACTCTCCAGATTTCAGAATTCTACAGAAAAGTAAGGAGAGGCTTCTCCCAAACCTGACCATTTTATGCTATCTGGCTTCAGGAAAACCAAGAAGGACTGGGTCATTCAGATGAATTGATTTCTATTCTCAGAGAAGGCTAAGACCAGATAATTTACAATGTCTGAAGTCCAGGAAATTAAAACTGTGGCCTCTTTGAAACTGATAAATGTTCTATATTCTTTCTTTAGAGAAAAATGCACACATGCATTTCTACTCAAAGTTGGGCAAACAACTTCAGGAGGTTCACAAATCCATGGTCAATCTATGAACTACATTTGTAAAAATTTCCTACCATAAGGTGTTAACTAGAATTCAAACTTCTATATTTATAGAAAAGTAAATTGACCTGCTACCACTCTGACTCTCACTTTTATATTATGGGAGTTGTCTACAACATTTCTGCAGACATGTCTTAGACAAGGCAACAGGAAAGATGAGGTAGGTCTTTTATTAATGGAACCTTGTTCTAATACTCTGTTCTCATTTTTTTTTTTCTCATGTGATGAACAGAACCTAGATCCACAGCAGAACCTGGTAAGAATTTTCTTTTTTTGGAGGGGTGGGAATGTATCTTTGGGTTTCAATAGTTCTTTGTTTCTGTTTTAAAGCCATAAGCAGAACAACGTTTTTGCAGTTCCTTGGAAATGTGAAACCCCCTTAAAAACAATATCGTCTTTATCATGGGGTCGACACTGCATTATACATCAGCTTCTCTGTTAGTAAAACATTAAGTGCCTCTCAGACTAGAAGGTCAAGCTTAGTTACTTAAAGGCTTTTTAAAATACATTTTTTTGTATTCCAAAAGCAAAATACTAAGCTAATGATGAAAAAACATCCTTCTAAGTTCCAGTAGAAAAGAACAATCTGCTACATACTTCTACTGACCCAAACCCACAAATAGCTAGACTCCTGGGCATAGAAATATGCCTTGAAGGAGAGTGCAAAGTCGACCCCAGGCATCTCTCATTTATTTATGCCCTGATCCATAAACTTTTACTATGCTACAAGCATGAATAAAGTCATCGTGCCCTAGCATCTGTCTTAATTACCAGGCCATCTGACCTTATCAGCATGCTCTGAGATCCAGAAGCTGCGTGGCCAGCTGTTCTGCCTCCAACCTCTTATGTATTTATGCGTCCTCATAGATTGAAAAGATACTTGTCTTCATTTGTACTTTTCCCATCAGCAAAGCCACAGTTTCACTTTTTTCTTACCAAAGGGTAGGAAAACAAATCATTTTCCTGTTTCTGCTCTTTGTGCTTCTGCTTCAGCATCAAGCAGATCTTGCCAAATGTGTCTAGGGAACCATGACCTGGTCCTGACCCTTCTTTAGGAAGCTGAGGGTTCTCTGGGCCTTCTGCAGTTCACATTACCACAGCCAGCCCCTGATCCTCTCATCTGAATCTCAGGTCTTTACAAACAGAGCATGAACTTCTTAGTAGCCAAAGTTTAAAGGATGCTAAGAAGCATCCTTAGGGAACAACTGGGATTGATCTATTGCCTCTGAGTTACAACTGGAGCATGTCACCCTACTCAACACGTCAGTCACCACGTCAAATACTATAGTCACTTTCCAGAATGTGGAAATAGTTTGTCTGTGATATGTCTCTGTATAAAATTGAATAATGCTTGTTCCCTGATGTGTGGAACTTCTGAGACTGAATCCACTGAATGAGCTACTATCGAAATCCTGTAGAGAATTAGGATGCAGCTTTTGCATTTACTATTTTCAAAGACTCATAGATAGATGATTGATGGATAGGCAGGCAGATACATAGAAAGAAAAAAGAAAGAAGGACAAAGGGAAGAAAGGGATAAGGGAAGAAAGGAAGGAAGGAAAAGTTAGGGACCAAATATCTCCTTTATCTACAAGATATAGATTATCATGTGTAACATAGGAAATTTATTATTTTTAATGCTTTACATACCAATAAGATTAAAATCTTTGACCCAAGATTCTAAAATATACTGTACTGGAATGGAATAAGGGTGCTTTTGTTATATTTTGTATTCTGAGCAAATTTGTGGGACTTTTCCGTGTATCATGTTGTTATCCATGGTCAACATCTAGTAGGTGAAAATGATGTAAATATCTCCCATAATCTAGTTTGAAAAATCACAAACTAACCATCATCTAAAAATTCAAAGCATTGACTAGAAACAACAGGTTAGTTTTGGGAATGTGCCTGTTTGAAATTCAAAAGTGCTTAGAATATACTGGGGAAAAATAGATTTGGAAGAAGATGGAGAAACGAGGAGACTCCCTCCTTGAACCTCTGTCACCCCAACCCCGATCCTATGCACTTACTCCTTGTTTCAGTTATGACTTGTTGTTTTGTTTCTAAAGCAGAATTTTGACTATAAATTACTTAATAAAATTGGTCCTGAACATTTCCTGGAATCATCTGACACCTAGAACTTAGAGTGCTGTCTTGTTACTTTTCGCTTGTTGCTGAGACAAAATACCTGACAACTAAAGTTAAAGGGGAAAGGTTTATTGAGCTCAGTTTGTAGAGGTTTTGGTCCATAATCAGCTGGCTTCAAGGCAAGGAGGCACATGGCAGAGGGCAACCGTTCATGGCAACAGAAGACAGCAAAATCAGTGAGAGAGAGAGAGAGAGAGAAAGAAAGAGAGAGCGAGAAAGAGAGAGAAAGAGAGAGAGAGAAAGGGAGGGAGAGAGAGAGAGAGAGAGAGAGAGAGAGAGAGAGAGAGAGAGAGAGACACTCTTTCTGCCCTTTATATTGTATGCAGACTACCCACCCTAGGGCGGATGTAGCACTTACACCCTTAATCCAAGCACTGGACCATGAATCAATGACAAACTGTAGATTTAGCCACCTTGGAAAAACCCCTCCCCATGACTGCATGAGGCTTTAAACATACAGATAAAAACCATAACAAGTGCCTTTGGTTAAACATGGAAAAGTCAAGGAGAAAAGCACAAATTATGGATGGATCTCCTTTAAACCCCATGCCCAAGAAATGTATAAAATTTTTTCCTTTACACTTTTGCTAAATTTACTGGGTTTTATTTTCCCTCTTGTTATGTCTAAATACACTTCAGATATCTCCATTTCCATCACAATGATAGCATTTGCTAAAAACAAGTATTCGTTGGCAGAAAAATATTTAAACAAATCTGTCAATACCAGAAAAAATGCCACAGTGAATACATTCATTATATGTTGCACAGTCCCTGGAAAAGACAGAGTCTTGTGCAACCCACTTGGGCCCCCCCTTCTGTCCCTCTCTTGGACAGAAGCTTTCTTTCCTTCAATAAATATATTCTGCTCTTAAATATATATATATGGCACACATGTACTAATAAAAAAATGTAAAAAAACCAAAAAAGAAGAAAATAGGAGTCACTAAAAACAAAATACAATAAGTTTTCTCTGGCTTCTCATGATTGCCTGACAATTATATTTACCACAACATAAGCAGAATTGTTCCTTTACAGTGAAGCACTCAAATGCCCTCTGCTTTGGGAAATCTGTAATTGGCATGTGGTGTTAAAACCCATGGTCATGGCTCAAGGACTTAGCTCAGTGGTACAGCACCTGCCTGGCACATGTGAGGTCCTGAGTTCAATTTCTGATACTCAAATAAATAAATAAAATCCATGGCCATATTTTAAATAAATTTAAATATGACTATTCAAGTGACTGTTTATGTGAGTTCATACAAGTAAAAACTCAGAACAAGAACATTTTTAGAGCAGATTTGTATGTAAACAAGGCTTACGTAGGCTTAATGATACTAGATGTAATTCTTTTACCAATTGCCAGTGTTTTCCTTACAGTGACCTTGAAGTTTCCATGCCAAGGGAAATATATATATCAGACTGTTTACTTCCTTGAAGTGGCCTGATTGATTGTTATATCTAAGGGACCGCTGATGTATTCAACAGGATAGAATGAATGTAGGAACTGGCTTCCCTTGATCACTGTATTTTAGTCACTGCTAAGTGGAAAGGAGAAAAACAGATATGGCCACAAAACATCTGAGGCTAGAGATAAATTTTATAGGACTGGGTCAGCGATGTTTTCCAAATGCTAAAACATAAATAGTCTTTGAAATTCGGGAAAATATTTAGCATTCAGATTTTATTACTTTTTCTTCCCTTCCTCTGACACAGTCACTGTTTCCTGTCCACACTTGCTCTCTCTTCTCTTGTTCTGTTCTCCACCACCTCCACCACCTCCTTCCCTCCCTCTCCTCCTTTTCTCCTCCCTCTCCCATTGTTTCTCTCTTTTTTTTCTCTTTTCTTTACTCTCTCTTCTTATTCATGGGTAAGATGTTTTAAAGCTCCAAAAATAAAACACAAAGTCTCTGCTCCCTACGTATCTCCCCATTATGGATTAGACAGTTGGATAAAGAAGGAAATTGTAGTTTCCCTCCCCATGCATTTGTGCAACTGAAACAGGTTTTTCTTGTCACTACTGTGTTGTATCTGTCTAATGTGTTTTACACTCCCCTCTCTGTCTAGACAAAGTCAGCTTGCTTCACAAATCTTTTCAGGCTGTTTTGTGACTTAATAGCTAGTCAGCTTGCTTAAGACCAGCCTCCATTTGTCATACAACCTGCCCCAGCCTTCTTCTTTGACATTCGAACTTTATACTGATTGAATCCTTCAAAGACTGGTCTAGGGGTGGTAGGGACAGAGACTCATTTGACAGATGTTAATACTCAGGCTCTTATTCAGCTGTCTGGAAACAGCCACAAACTGTACTGAGTTACCTCTATTGTATTGTTAGGCATGCAGAATTAAAACCACAAAACAGTGTCTCACTGGTTGAGGAAGTATATATATATATGAATCTCTTTTAACCATTGTGGCCCATCCTATAACTTAAATAGCAGAGTCCACATTTTGGTTTTGTATTTCAGAAAGTGAAGTAAATTAAAGTTAGATGTGCTAAGGTATAGAGCTATAGATGAACAGTGGTAAAGATGTTTAATGAGATCTCAGTAGATTACACAGAGTTAAAAACTTAATGCAAACCCTGAGTGAGGTTGGTGAGTTGGAAGAAAATATTCAGAATAAAAGTGAGCTGCATAAAATTTATGGCCACCCCAAACTGTGTGACAAGGTAGCTGCAGTGCTTCACCACATGGACAGGAATACTGTCATATATTTTAAAACCTTTATGTAAACATATTGATACTTGACACTTGACAAATACAGCATGGTGACTAGCTTGAAATAGCTCAGAATTTTACCACTGGATCACTATACCTTCTTTTCTATTACATCATATCATCATGAAACTGAATTTTTGATTGGTGTATGAGAAGTGAGTAACATATGAAAATCTTTGAACTATGAAATGATGCTGACTGTGTGCATTAGACTCTAAAAGAGGTTGTACCACACCCAACAAATCCACACATCCATCAGAAGCTAGCTGTAGTTATCTAAGAACAAAATAACAATTTTTTTCAATGTATGTATATATTTTTCAAACAGAACCTAACATGTTCAAACACAAATACTAAGTTCTTTGGAAATGACTGCCTGATAGATAGAACT